AGCAGTGGTTATTAATCCCTTATTGGGAAAAACCCATATTATCCTGACAAAGCAGTTTGTGTTAAAGAAGATTTTTTAAGGAAAAAGGCGTTTTTACATCCTATCATTTGTTTGTTTTCTGGTATTTATTAACATTTGGAAATAAAGTCAATAAAGGTTTGAWGATTAAAAACCTTAGTTATGCAGATGAAGCAGTCTTCATTTTATAAACAAATGCCTGTGTACAAAGAATTTCTGAAAGTCAATAAAGTTTCTTTGTGTCAATAAAAGAAATTTACTAGATATTCTTCAGACTGAAGAAAAGTAAACYGGATTGTCTTTGGATTTGGCCAGTCAGTTCTGACAATTGGAAAGTGCCCAGCGATTCAATTATCCTTAAATTGAACCAACAATCTTTGCCCAGACAGTTGATCCAATAGACTTTAAAATGCAATGCCTTTCCCTTGGTAAAATCAATGTTAGCTTTTGTTAATCAAAAGCTTATAAGTTTGGGTGTCTGGACAGCTGCAACTGTGACATGGGGTGTAGTAAATTTATTATTGCTCTTTTGAACTTAGGAAAACATGTAAAGCCCTGTCTTTCAAGTTTCTCTCTTTGTCTTCGTAAACAGAATATTATATACACTAATTACTAATAAGTCTAATTCTATTTCAGGCTATTTGGATCTCTACCAGTGTTTGTGCGAGGCTGTGATCATGTGTTGACKTTTTTTCATGTCAACACAAAATCAAAAGGACGTGACAAAAAGCAAAAAGCTGCAAAAAAGGAAGAAAAGAATAAAAACAAACAAGATAACTCAAAAAGAGACAAACAAAACTGTGTGAAGTTACTTGAAAATTCTGCTTCAAAAGAAGAAGTGAAACAACAGAACCATTYTACATCAATTTTAACTGCTGAAAAGGCAAAAAAGACTGAAGAAAGTCTAAAACCAATTAATGGAATCATTAATGGTAAGTAAATTCAGTCTGTAACTATTTATATATTATTAGGTTAGTGTATTGATTGAAGTTGAGTACCAATTGAAATCATCTCTCAACGTTCTCAGCTCCTGTGTTGTACTATTCTCTGAGCTCCTGCATGTCAAGTTAAGGCTTAAAAGTGATCAAGGTTTTTTCCTAATAAGACTTACTATTTGCTTCATGAGACATCTATCACAATTTCATGTTTCAGATGTTAATAAAGAGCAACAAACGTCAAAATCTATAGCCAACCAAATACAAGGCAAAAATGGTCTTGTAAAGGTACCCATAATGCCGTCATCTACAGTACCTATCACTAGAACTCTTGGTACGTAACTGCATAGTGCTGCCAAACTCTATGTTAATATTCCTTTTTAAACTTGCATGGAAGATTTGATTAACTATTATAGTAAAGTAAACCATCTGCATATACATATCCAGGGGGGTCACTATAGAATGAGATTGTAGAGGATGCACTGAGAGTGAAAGTAACCCTTCTTGTTTTCATATACAAGATAGATACATAAGGGCAAATTTGTAAGATGATTTTTGTGACATGCATGTATAGTCACAATGTCTGTCGTGTGCACTACAATTTCCTCCTGAAAGTAACTCTTAATTCTCTCAAAGCATAATAGATCAACCAATATGAGTACTAATACTTCTAGTAAGCCTAATACTAGTAAACTTGTTATTAAATACTTGCTGTTTGATATATTTGCAAATTTGATATAATTATATAACGGAGTGCTTTGGTTTTTGCCAGTGTTGTTAGGTATGGTATAGTTAMTGAAAATACAGTCTCCAATGCATACACATATTMTCTGCACATAAATCATGGAGAGCTTTTTTAATTTGCTTCCATTGTTAATGTGAGTAATGATAGCACAAAAACCTTTTAATCACAAATAACCGGCTTAATTTAGGCAAAATAGAAAGGATCACAAACAGACAGACAGAGTACAAAAGATATGAAACAATTGTGTAAGGAAACTATGACAATCCAGAATACAACACTTGCAATTAGTGCTTTTGTAGACTATGGACTATCAACTTGTAGTTCATGAGAACAGTGGTGTAATTTGTATAATATCCACCAAACAATAGGGCAAATTTGAAAAACTATATTATCATAAACAATTTTTCCTATCAATCATATTGTTTCTACTTTTTTCACTTTTGATCAACTGATGAAACCAYGGTCTATTGCRAGTTAGACCATAGTTCAGTARCCAGTCAGAATCATGGTGGATTAGTACGTTTTTTGATACTCATACTAATAATATTAACTACTAGGTATTTTTAGGAGATGGGCCATAATTAAATCATTTTTTTCTTCAAATGTTGTAATTTATAGAAACCTGAAGCATGTAAATTCACATGCCATCAGACAGAGAGTTAAAGTTTTACTTAACTTACTAGGAAAAGATAATTCCAAGCAATCAATGGCCACAAATTCATAGATTGAGACACTAGAATGCATTTGCCAAAGGATGATTTTGATTTGGTTAGATCAAGRTAGATCCAGGGATTGATTACAGGGTACCTAGACGCGCCCCTTTTTGGGGCYTAGATAAATATAGAAATAGAAATTATATGTTATGATTGCAAATCAGTATAAAATCTGAATGAGACTCATTCTGAAAAACAACTAGTGTGTTCATGAAATTTCATTTTCAGGCCTAAATCTATCCATTTATATATTTTTTCTTGAATTAGCTGCTTCCATCTGGATCTGATCTGAATCTAGTTGAAATTKTGAGTGCTAAAATAAGGGAGTGTTCATTATTTATGGTTGGTGAAGCACTTATTGAGGAAGCAAAACTTGATTTTTGTCATTGTCTCTGCAATGGTCTGGTGCTTGAAATAACATTCTGCTCAGCTCATTTATCAGTGCTTATAAAATCACTGCCACTTAAGGTCATTCTGTAGGTATAGAACCGCTAGGTGCGCTACAGCTAGTGCAGGTGCTCTCGCTGGTAAAAAATTGTATGCAGTAGAGAGTGCGTAATAAAATACTTCAGCCCTGGCCTTGGAGTTTCACCAATCTTGAGACTGGGATCCAAATTATTGATACTGTCTCATGGAATATCAAGGAGAGCTGTTGACAATTATCCTGTTTTTCTCATTAAGCAGAACGCCTTGAAAAAAGTAACAATCAGAAACCTTCATGGATAACCAGTAAATAATTGTTTTTTGAAAATTGATCTTTTGTGACCAGCATAATCCTGAGATATATTACCYCCCCCCCCCCCCCCCCCCCCCCCCTCCACAAAAAAAGAACTTACAGTAAAACCAAATAATGAACACTCTCTAAAGAAGCACGCCAGATGAATTGAATCATTCAATCAAAAATCTTGAATTCTTGAATAAGCAGTTCATGCACTCTGATGAAAACAATTAAAGCTAGGACAACTGGTGTTAATTCACTATCATTTACATTCCCAATATTCATAATGATTCTAAAAATCCWTTTGAAAGACCCAGTTTCCCTCCTGCTTTGATCCAGGAGATGGTGACGATACAATACAAAATCTGCTCCTAGAACAATCACAGTATTATGTGAAAAGGGAATGTAAATTCAACTTCTACAAAAATATATTTTCATAAATAATTAATTAAGTTAGCTGTAAGGCCACGGGGACAATGCATTAAGCATGTGRCATGATTTGAATTTAGTTACCATTAATTATCATAATTATATATGTATAGTTATTTTCCAATGTAAATAGTACATAATTAATAGAGTATATTTTAAATTATATTTTTAAATAACAAATTATATTGTCAAATATTTAACTCAATTCAAAAGTAGTCATCTCAAGCATGTAAGGTTGAGATTTTTCTTGATTACCAAGAAAATTGTTTCTGCATTAACTTCTTAAATCTTTCTAGCTGAATGTTCAGAAATTGATTTACATGTATCTCAGTTTCTGGACTTCCCGACATCCATTATATTTCAAATTTCCATTACTCAGTTTGCCTATAAGCTCCATGATCACCAAAAGTCCACGTACATTTTTTTAAGTAAACAAATTATCATGACTATAAGTCCAAGGCTGGACTTCATATTGTTAGAGTGAGAAGTACAATGAAATAAATGACGATATCCAGCCTTAATAATGCTTGAGATGTTGGGGAAGTGCTGCGGGATGTTTGTGCATGCAGACTATAAGTTGATGACAGTGATGTTCATATAATGAGTAAATTATTTCATTAAAAGCATCTTTTGGATCCACATCAATGTAGCATTTTGTTTTCTGTAGGTCCTTCACTTCTCAGTACAGMTGCCCCTAAACTTGATTCAATACAGTCCACATGTGAATATACCCATTYGCCAAATATCTATCCTGGTTCTGCACCAATACATCATCTTCCACTCCTATCTACAAGTAACAGTATAACAACACCACAAACATTTGACTCCTTAGTTCATCGTTCACCTMTCTCATCACCTATTACAATAAATCATCACCAGTCCACTACAAACAAGCTCGGCTGGATGTACTACTGTACAAGTGAAGGCTCTTTCACCATTCAGGATTGGCTGAAAAACCTTCGCCTTCACAAGTATTCGGAGACTTTTCGAGGAAAATCTTTCCATGAGGTAAAACAATTCTTTTAGTCATTAACTTAATAACCTTCATAGATCTAGAAGAACAAATGACTAAAGCTGACACTTTACATTATAGAATTTTAAAAGTAATGTCTATAGAAATGAAATGGAATATAATATGTGGTATTTATATAGCGCCAATATCCTCTGAGTTCAAAGGCGCTTCACATGTATAGATCATTTCACACGGACCGCTGTTTTTTAAGGCGCAATTGGCAGCCACGCGGCTTACAATCATGAGGGGTTAGTAATTAGTATGGGTTAGTAGTAAGGCCTAGCCACACACACCGGGAATCATTCCCTACTCTTATGCGAACAGTGGTGTGGGTTCTTTAACGTCCCTCTAATACAGGTTAGTGAGTGAAGTGTAGAGAGACGGGACCTCCGATTTTACGTCGTTATCCGAGAGGACGAGAAGATCTTACCATTTGCAGATGGAGAAAGACAAAGGCAGCAACTTCTCCTCAATTATTTTAAGACCCTGAGTGTTGGTCCGGCCGGGGTTTGAACCTGCGACCTCCCGCACTAAAGTCCGATGCTCTACCTACTGAGCTAACTCGTCATACAATACAGATCAATATATAGTTTATTACTAATATCAATCTAATAGAATGTGTTATCATGACAGCTGCTAAAACTTACTGACAAAGAATTAGAGAAACTTGGAATGACAACTGGAGCAAGACGCAAGCTCAGAGTAAATTTRGAAATATTAAGGTAATTTATTTAATGGTAATTTCTTAAACAAATTAAATGAAAATATATTATCTTAATTTAGACTTAGAAATGTCATTGTTTATTATTATATCATAAGAGGGGACTGCTAACTTGGAAATCCCTGAATTGTATGACTGAGAAACTCCCTATTGTTAATTATGACTTTTCAGAACTTGAGATTTGGTCTAGCATAGTGCTAAAGGCAATVTCGTACCCTGAGCCTTCAATTTTCTTGGCCAGCTACAAAATAAAACAAAAGACTCTTAGGTAGCATAATTTTCTGTGATTTTTGATTGGCTACCTGTGGTCTTGCAGTGCATTATGCTAGCCTCCTTTAGCAGCCGCCCCTGTGTCGTCACGCAACGCTTGGGGAGAAGCGTTACGTGACGACACAGGGGCGGCTGCTAAAGGAGGCTATGCATATGCAGGCTATTCAATAAAAAGAGGTAGGTATAATTATAACCTATAAAAATTGTTTAATTTTTTTTACTGTTTCACCAGGAAACGTGGGTGCTTCAGTTCAGATGGACAAATGATACTCGATGTTCTTCCTATAATTTCTAAAGACTTTGTGTCTTGCAATGGATTCATTGATAGTGACACAGAGAGAATGTTCAGTGAAAGTGACAGCGACTGTGGAAGTGATACCTTTTCTGATATATACTCATTTGTAAGTACAGCAATCAGCTTTTTTTATTACTACAAGTCAGACAGTAAGTTACATGTATCTAATGCTAGTGCTTCATAAAATTGTGCTACTAGGTTGTGAATGAGCAGTGCCTGAACCAGTCCTGGATTTGCTAGTGACCCCCCTCTTTCAAAGGCTAATAACTYATAATATTCTCATTCACTCAATACTTATCAGTCCTTTTAATAATTAGATAATTGGTATAGCCATACCCTTTAATTGTAAAATCCTGAATGTGCCCATGAAAAGAAAATATACTTTAATATACTTTGGCTGGAAAATCATTTTTGATTTATTTGCTTGATGTCACACAAAACATTATATTATAGATGATCTATTTTTAATTTTGTAGAGTTAATTATATTTTTTAGAATATTCTTTAATTGTATTCCTGTGAATTACTGTAAAAATATGATGTGGTGAGCTTGAAGTTTGCAGGGTCTGTGCAGGTCCTTAAATTCTTGAAAAGCTTGTTCTCAAGGGCACTTGAAACTCCTTGAAATTTTGAAAATTTCAAAAAAGTCCTTGAAAACCCCTTGAAAAAGATAGATCTCTATCATGAGGCGCTAGTGACCTCTGAATTATTCCGTTCGGCTGAAGTTTTGAGGTAAGAATGTACAATTAGCATGATTATGATGTTCCTTGAAAATACAATTTTGGTCCTTGAAAAGTCCTTGAAAAGTCCTTAAATTTCTTTTTACATTAGATRCTCTGCACGGACCCTGAGTTTRACACTCAAAYAGAGAATAGACCAATSMYGMATTCGCTTGGATGAACAYGAAACAATGGCTTCATTTCGAGGCTGGAGTTTTATCTTTTGTCAAAACTCCAGCCTCGAAATGAAGTGATTGTTTCGTGTTCATCCAAGCAAATTYGTGATTRGTCTATTGGATTGCMAGGTTGAAATTTAGAAATWTTTTCTTTCAGGTGCGAGGAACAACCAAACAAAACAAGTGCCAACTGTCTTGCTACAACTGTGGTAGCTTAGGTCATGTAGGGAGACAATGCATGGCACCAAACATGGAAAAACGCCTTAACTTTGGTATGAATGTACATTGTTCTCATTATTTTGTAAAATTATATGTAGTTTCCTTCACATAYAACAAATGCCTCACGACATGACCAATGAACTTGCAATGAAAAATACCTGTGAATAATTATTGTACGTTTATGTGGGACTGGTGCAAAAGKTTTCCATCACTGCGTTCTCAGTGGTTGTCACAATACAAAGGCACATTTACCTATAAAGATGGCAGACAGTGTAAATTTTATGTGGCTAGTACATGTACCTAAACTTACCTAAATATAAATATTTAAAATAAACACTCTGTACTTAATAAACATTATAATATTTCCATAGGTTACAGATTACGCCTGGATATTGGACCTCAAGTCTTACAGTAGAAATTATATATTAATAAATATTAATAGTATTATAATATATTTCATACATTTTTTCATTATGTAGTTGTAAGTATAGACATCATGCTATATTATATTTGCRTTAGTTTATTTATGCACTAGATGAACCTAGTCTTGGTAGTTCAAGTTTAACAGATCATGTTTTTCCATTACTCAAGAGCTGCTATGTCTCAACACAATACCCATCAAAGAGTTTACACTTTCTGCCATTGAGCTAGGAAGATATGTATCAGTATCAGTTTTTGAATTCTCAAAATATAACAATAATTTATAATTAATAATAATAAATATATTTTGTACATAGACAAAGAAGATTTATGACTGAATAACTCATTAAATTATATATGAAGTTCTSGAGTTTTGTTAGAAGACTTTTATGATTCATTTAACCATGACACAGAACAATTGAAGGTAAATGGAAATCATTGCCCTGTTTTCAATTTCCATAGTTTGGTTAGTGCTATATATTTGAATATGTTTATAAACCAGTGAAATAAAGCTACATTGTAGTTACATAACTAATCAGAGAMTGTGACATTAAATTTGTTCACTCTCTTTTGGAATTCTATACAATTTGATYCATAGATAAATAATCTTATTGTGAAATATTCCTTTGTTTAATTAATATGGCAATTCTTAGTTTGTGTTATGAAGGTAACTATCAATATGCAAATGATAATGACATCAAGCAAGGCTTCATTGGATGAATGAACAAGTTGAAGCAGTCCTTCTGTTTTATACAGTCTATCTGTAAGTGCTTTTTAGTAAYATGTGTATTGCCTGTACATTCTCTACTGCAAAAAAATAAAATGTCATGGTTGACTGCTTTGAATGATAAAGCCTTCCTTGATGATTGAGCCTTCTTATCTCAAAGACAATGTCAAAAAAGTATTATTTCACCCTTTTATTATTTACTTTATGTAGAGCTACTCAACTACGTAGATCAACAATGATTGTCTCAGGTGTTGTTAGGTATACTTTAATGGTCACTGTTGRCCAGGTATTTTTACTGAGCAAAACCTCTAACAGTAAAAATGTTCATACTCATTTTTGTGATAATAATAATTATCTTTGTTGACTATTATACATAGAAAAGGTGCATTAATAGTTATTTCAATCTACATATTGTTGATGGAAGAAATACTATGGATTTCTTGGATAAGTACTTAGCGCTATTACACTTGAAATACATGTGAGATGTAAAGATATATCTTACAGAATAGAGCAGAGTCACTTGAACCATGAAATAGAAACTAAATATTTAGTAACTAATAGGCACTATTTAGATACTATCACTGAACCAGAACAGTACAAAGAGATTACTTTGATTGTTATAGTGTTCTCTTGGGTATTGCTTATTGGATCAAATATAGTGTTCTGGTTCAGTGCTAATGACTATTAGAAACTAATAGTGCCTATTAGTTAGTACTTTTTAGTTTTTATTTCATGGTTCATGTGACTCTGCTCTATGAACATTTACATAATATACATACTAATACTCTATTACTTTGCTTCGGCTAAAGGAATTACATAACATCAAATTTATATTTGGTTACATGAAGTCAAAACTATAGACTCTAAGGCAAACAGAGGTCAGAGAAATCATATCTTCCACTTTCAAAGTGTATTGAAACTGGCTCAATTTATCAGTGCACCAGTGTATACTTAACTACAGTRTTATTAAAAATGAAATATTTTTTGAAATTTTAAACTGAATAAAATTTTGACATATRAATAACTACTGAATGATATGCATTCTTTAGAATATAAAATCATGTAATATTGGAGATCCAAACATCAGAGACCAAGAGGAAGGGATACGGAAGTCACCTAAAAATTTAGTCATTAAAAAAATTAGTATTTTGTTTTGAATTATAATAGTAGTTATTCAATGTTAAATTTCAAAGGAGCATAAGTGACAAACCAAACAGTGTTCGATATGACTAATAATGTTGTTTAGACTATTATTTGTTTTCAATCATTTGGTGAGGACTGGCTGCCATTGCTGGCCGAATGAGGAAATGATACTAATGAGAAATTCTATGTTATGACAGCTTCAATTTGATGCTGTCCCTATTTGTTTTCTCATTCCAGAATTCATAAAGCTATAAGAACAAAAAGAGTGTTTTTCTTCAGTCTTGTGACATGATACGTTTTTTGTTTTTCTTWAAAAAATGATCATAGAATAATCATGTTGGAAATTTCTTCAAAGATCTCAGTACTCCAAGTCTTCTTYGCTCTCCCCAAGTCATGTAAATAACTAACACCAAATTTTAATAAAATATGAACATATCAGTAATTCTTACTTGGTTTTCCAGCAAACTTTGCTTCCACCTGCAGCATAAGAAACATAAAGTTAGCTTGTCTTCACCAGCAGTATTTGGGTGCCTTTAGTTGCGTTAAAATACAAGCCAAAGAGCCACTTTGCATTTTTATCTGAACTTGAATTTGCCAACAAAAAGATTCCACTGCATACTCTGAAGTTTCAATTAATATCTGTAACTTACTGTAGGGGGGGGGAGTTCCAAATAATATCTGTAACTTACTGTGGGGGGGAGGTTACATACACTTCATGTCAATACCTTATCCTTATCTACAATGTTAATCCACTGATTCAGATATAAGAACAACTGCACTCCATCAGCAATGTTTTCTCCTTCAGAGCAGAAAGTCACGAGAACAGTCAAATTTACCTTTTCTTGGCAGCTGTTGAGAAAACAATGTTCAAATTATTTAATAAATAATTGTTCTGTGGAGGGCTGGGAGTTGATGGTGARTTTCCTGTTATATCCACTCATTCACTTTCCAGTATCATAGACCATCTTTTACAACTTTGAGGCCAATTTACATCATGATATAGAAATAAAGGAAAGTCATAGTGCTTTCATATCTTCAACCCTTTACAGCTACAAGAGCATTGCTACCATTTWTCCACATGCAAGGTGGAAAGACATCTTAGCACTGTTTAAAACTARTCAATGCCAAAAGCCTATAGAGAACAGAGTAGATAATCCATTTGCATTGTGTAATGAATCCCTGCATTCACATCTTTACAGTCATTATTTATGGTGCAGTGACATCAGAGAGGTTATTGGGATGGTTGGTTTAGGTTGGATTTTATTAGTCAGACTAGCTAAAGGCTAGATCTACTCGAGTCTTGACTCTTAGCCAATCTATCATGTTGCATTTGGACCACCAGAAGTTAAGAATTTAATAATTAACTATTAGGTTGGCTGTGTTATTACATGACCGGAAGCTCAAACGTATAGATATACAAATATCATTAGTAAATGTTAGATGCTACTTGCACTTTTATGTGATAAAAAAGCTATTTGTTTACAAATGTGGTATCTGTGATCTCATTGGAATGCATCAGTCTAGGCATCAGAAGTACGCGCATGTGCAGATCGCATGGAGCTTCGAAGAAGAGCACTTTTTATGGTTTGGACTTGCTTCATTATTATTATTTCCATAAATATTTTGTATAAAGGTGGGTAAAAACATAACATTCTATCCATTGTATTGTACTTACCATGCCTCAAAAAACCTTCTGGTAATTCCTCCACCGGGCATTGAATACACACCTTCATCTGTTTGTAAAACAAATATAAATTTGTTATCAAGTCACTAGTTCATTATACAATAAGTAATAATGAACATGGTAATCTAAAATTAAGCATAGTGAAATATCGAAGAAAATTTTTTCATTGCCCTCTTAGTCAAGCATATTGTCTCAGTAATTTTCAATTACCTTCATTACTAAAGCCATATAATTTTTTCTCAAAAGGAACCCACAGCAGYTGTTCAAACTTGTTGTCTTTAACAGGCGATGATGTCAGATATCGTAGTGGAGATCTGTCCAAGGTTAAATCATGATTATAAATAAAACCTTTTTTAACAGAAATCTTCAAAACAACTATACAAAGCCATCTTGTAGGATCTCAAATATCTCCAAACAGGTTATGATTAATGTCCCACATACATGTTACTGCATTGACATTGCCAGGCCCATGCTATAGCTCTCATTGTATCAACTTCTTCACTCAAAAAAATAACACTGTGGCTTTAACTATAAATCATAATTTTTGTCCCAAATGTAACCATAATTGTTTACAAGCACTTTAAAGTTCCATTGTCCCCTAAGATACTCCACAGCCATCTGTGGAAAAAGCTATGCAAATTGTACAAAAAAGCCAAGCAACCTAACTAATGTTAATGTTTCTGGAATTATTTGCAATAGATCACAATTATGCGACCTTACCTATTCCACAATTAGACTAAAAACACTACAAAAGGATCTTGGGAGAGAATAGGCCTTTAACATAATAGTAAAAGATGCAAACCAATTGTTTTGCCTTGTTTTCCCMAGTACTCACCCTTTGATCTGTGAGTCTATTCTGTCAGTGGCGCTTACACTTGACAACATGACAACTCTTTGGAAGCCACATTCCTTGATCCATTCYAGGAGCTTTTTGCAATAAGATGACTGATAGCCCTTAATTAAGATATTTTTTGTCATAACATTAAATAAAGACAAAAAAGCATTATATTAGATTGTGCAATGTGTACTAAATGTTGGTAATTTGACTAATAAGAGCAATACTAAACATTTCATACTAATTCTGCCAGGTAAAATACCTATATAGTGTAGTTAAGCAATGGAAAAGCAAAGAAATTATAATGCAAGCTTAATTCATTCAATCATAAACAAATGTATAATACACACCTTACAAACTGGTGATCTCTTTTGTATAATGATAAGTCTGGGTTCTTCACTTTTATAAACTAAAAGTGTAAAAGCAACGGAATTACTAGTACTTCATTCTCAAATTCAAAGCAAATTTAATATAGCTATTTTATCTGACAGCAGATTCTCTTATSCAAACACCTTAAAAACACAAAAGGAAAGCATGAGAAAATGTTGTATAGCTACCAATTTTCATTTTCCCTGATTTGAGGCTAAACYTGTATTTCCAGAAGGCTCATACATGTACCTTAGGTCTTATGATCAAGAATACAAAGAATACAGGATTAGTCTCAACTTGGAGAAAATGCAAATTTTCAAGGTTGTTGATTTCAAAAATGGAGGGTTTTTTTGGGTGCCGACTAAAGTGTCCTTTGATGTCTGAAAACAATGAAAACATGTACAGTCGCATTCTTTATTATTACATTAATTCATTTTCCTATCTTTATTTCTCTGCACAATTGTACCTTCAACACTCAGGTTCAGYTTCCCACTCTGGTTGTGGTCAAAGGCATCATTTCCAACTACAGGAAGGATGCTAGCATCATGGAAGAAACCAATCAATGATGGAGATAAGGCTGAAATAACCAAGTCTGTTGCTAGCTGTCCAACATTACCAATGGACACTGCAGGCTACAAGCAATCAAATTAATGCTCATATATATACAAGATAATACTTGGACTGTCTGCTTGGAATGTCCAATGTCTTCAGGGTTTTTTTTTTTGTGTGTGTGTGTAAGCATTAAGGGAGGTGCAATTACTCATTAAAAAATTAAAAGCGGCTAAAAAGGGTCAGGGAGGGACTGGAGTTTTGTCACCATTGTCACCATGTGCTTATTCCTATGTAGTATCCAATGAATACTGACGTTTTACCCCCTTGAGCCAATCAAAAAATATTATTCTATTGAACGTACATATCAAATGCATTCTCCATGGGGGAGAAATTTAAGCTTTAAGCTTATAGAAATTTACAAATTCWCGTGTCATATCGATCGATGGCCAGAACGAGCAAAAACAAGACTAGTCAAAACTTTTCAAACCAGATGGATTTTTTATATTTCTAACAAGTTTTTATAGCTGTTTCTTCCAATATCTATACTTCTTACCTACCAAAATCAAAGAGTATTCACTCCATTTTACAGAATCTGCTTCTTTTAATGGGACGAACATGGCTCTGCAACAATTGGTCAGCGGTGTATATTGCTGGCGCCAGCACACTATGTAATTGCTACACGAATTTCCTACCTATTGTTGGCAACCAAGCTTAAAAATAGCTTACAAAAGCAAGGATAGAACTTCATTACGAAATTTGTTAATGATGCAAGCAAGATGGCGGAATTACCGCAATTAGGAGAAAGATGCCAAATAGAAAGTTGTCAGCAGCTCGGTAAAAGAAGCCGTTCCTATTTACAATGCTCAGTGTTTGTAAATATCTTTTAGTTATATTCAATGCAAACAAGATACCTCCTTTTTCAGATTTCTTACCTATTACATGCAGTAAATGCAATGGGATATTTTGGTAAGCATGACAGATCAATCGACTTTGTTCAGTTTCATTAATGTCACTAGTCCTAATCGTTTTACTTAAAGAAAATCAGCTGTCTGAATAAAAAAATATAATGCACAGMACTGTACTCCAGATCGATTCATTTGCAGATGCGAGTGTTTCTTTTTACGCTCACTTGGAAATATTTTCTTATAAGACTATTCGCTCAAAATTGTCATGTAAGCTACAGCAGTTATAACTTACTGTAACAATCATGATGATTATTTCATCCCATTCATATTACACTTCAATATTATAAGTGCCATTCTTTTGACACTCATGTGTTTTGATTTGATTCATTTTCCATCTTCTATTAAGTTTATAGATTTGTTATTAATTTATTGCTTATACCGCGCATGTTTCATGTGTATATGATCACATGCGCCTAACAGATAAAATATATAAATTACAATAAGTTCTTAACTATACTAGGCAGCCATTTAGATTATTCACAATTCAACAATAAGCAAATCCAATAAAATAGATTTACTAAATATATAAAAATAGGTATAAGTATTCAATGTTCATAAGCTACTCTAAATAAAAATGTCTTTACTAAAGTCTTAAATCTGCTGTAATTGTTCTC